CTGGGTAGGCCGTCCTGTAGCGCACCGCTGCCTCGCGGGTCGGCCTACCTCGCGCCTGGCGCATACCGCCTGGCTGGGTAGGCCGTCCTGTTAAGCACCGCTGCCTCGCGGATCGGCCTACCTCGCCCTTGCCTCAGGCCGCCTGGCTGGGTAGGCTGTCCCGTAGGGCACCGCTGCCTTGCGGGTCGGCCTATCTCGCCCCTCACTCGTGGAGGGGTTGGGTAGGCCAACCCGCAAGGCAGCCGAGTGCAACGGGATGGCCTATCCCACCAGGCGCCCTGCGCGTCCTCTGCTCCCTCGGGCTCTTGCGCGTCTTGCACTTGTACGCCTCAATGCCTCGAGGGTGTCAGCCGACATGCCACAGCCCTCTGGCTTGTCCGCCGCCGCCATCACGTGGACGCCGCGGCCGCCGCACTGTACGCCGCACTGGCCGCCGCCACCATGTGCCCGGGCGTGCTGTGCGCCACGCGGTGGAGTGGAGCGGCGGCTGATGTTGGGCGAAGGGAGTGGTGCAGCGGTTGACGAGCGTCTTGGCAGCAAGGCCACGGGGCGTGGCGGGGCGTGGCGCCGCGCCAAAAGCTCGTCACGTAATTCCTGGACTTCATACACGCCCCGCCCGCGTCCCGTCCGCCCCGCGCTGACGTTGCGCCGGCCAGGGTTTATTTTCGAAGTAGACCTACGAGAGTCCACTCAGGAACTGATGGCTTTGATTCAGTGGTGCGCGGCCGGGGGGGAGGCGCACTGAGAGGGGGGAACACTTTCCCTGACGTAAGGAAGGCCGAGTGCCGAGTGAGCAGCGGCGGTGATGTGAGTTCACCAGAAATAAATAAGGTGAAGCGTGGTGCTACACTGCCCACGGGGTGCCCACCGCCAGCACGCGGCACGTTACACTATCGGTACACTTCCACTCTTCGCCTACAGGTTTTGATTCTTTTCACCGGCGCGGCGGGTAGCATTGTTGTCTGAGGGGCGGAGGTTCGGGGCGTCGCCGCGCCGTGGGTCATGGATGACTTCCCTGTACGCGCTCGACCGGACTCCCTGGGGCTGGGCGTGGTGGCGGTGGCAGCCGCAGGCGGGGCCCCCGACCCGGACGCCGCTGCCGCCCGCCGACCAGGCGTCCACCTCCAGGACGAGCGCGTCATCGCGGTCCAACGCGCTACGTCCGTGTCCAAACCCTCCTCGATCGCGGTCCCCCCTCCCTCCCTCCCTCGACGTCAGCCACCTCGCTGAGCTCCGCCTGTCTTGTGTTGTTGCAGGATGCCTGGGCTCCCGACACTGCATGACGCTGCTGCTGTTCCTGGGCATGGCCAACGCCTACGTGATGAGGACCAACATGTCGGTGGCCATCGTGGCCATGGTGAACCACACGGCGCTGCCGCACGCCTCGTCGGAAGCCGTGGACATGGAGGACTGTGGGGCCGGGGCCGGCCAGGCGAGCAAGAAGCACGACGCGGTGAGTGGCGTGATTGTGGTGGTGCGGGCTTGACCCGAGGCAGGTGTCTCGGTGGTTTTCATGCGCCGGTTAGCCGAATGCGACATCAGGAAACAGTGTCGGCGATGACGGTCAGGCTCGCGCCGTGCATGGGCAGACTCAGCGCGAGTCCGTGGGGTTCTTCCGCACCGTGCGCTCGCGCGCGTGCGTGCGTGATGCTTGCGCGCTGGAGCCGGAAAGGGACTCGCTCGCCTTGGCGCTCCTTGCGCGGCGCGCACGGACTCGTGCGCGATGAAGGGACTGACGTGACGATATGACGACGCGCTTCGGTTTATTTCCGCCCAAACTTACGCCCCCGTGTTGCCACTCGTTCTGTTTCAGGACTCCGACGGCGAGTTCGTCTGGAACACGTACACCCAGAGCTACATCCTGAGTTCCTTCTTCTACGGCTACGTGGTGACGCAGATTCCGTTTGGAGTCCTGGCCAAGCGGTACGGTGCCAAGTACTTCCTGGGCGTGGGCATGCTCATTAACTCCGTGTTCGGCCTCCTCGTGCCCGTCGCGGCGTACGCGGGGGTGGGTCCCCTCATCGTCGTTCGCTTCATCCAGGGACTTGGCGAGGTGAGCCTAGCCCGTTGGATATGCACCGTCGTGTGTTCGTGTCAGGTTTCGGGAGCCTTAACCAACGCCTGTCCTTTGTTTCTACCTAGGGCCCCATTGTTCCGTGTACCCATGCACTCTTGGCGAAGTGGGTTCCACCAAATGAGAGAAGTAGGATGGGAGCCTTTGTCTATGCTGGTAAGGACATTTGCATTGCATCACATGGTTAACTTCCAAACTTTTATTGCAGATAACTGACAAAGTTTTGTTGTTTCTGTTCCAGGAGCTCAATTTGGCACAGTTGTTTCAATGCCACTGAGTGGTCTTCTTGCAGCCTATGGATTTGCTGGAGGGTGGCCTTCGATTTTCTATGTGTTTGGTATTGTGGGCACTGTGTGGTCTCTCGTTTTCCTATTTTATGGCCATGAGGACCCTGAATCCCATCCAACCATAGATCCTGCTGAACGGAAATACATTCTTACCTCATTATGGGGATCTGCTGGAGTGTCGGTAAGAGATGAGAATGCACACTTCCATTTCCCAGCTGAGAGAAAATTATGTTTTCTTTCATTATGTGTAATCTTTTTTTGTTTTTGTTTTAGTCTCCACCAATTCCTTGGGTGTCCATTCTGAAATCAATGCCATTTTGGGCAATTTTAATGGCACATATTGGTCAGAACTATGGGTATGAAACCCTCATGACAGAGCTTCCGACATTTATGAAGCAAGTGCTTCATTTTGACATTAAACAGGTTAGATATCAACTCGATCATCTTGCTATTACCATGTCTAATTCAAACCTCGTTTTTGGTTATAAATTTTTACATGTTTAATTTTTTTACAGAATGGCACAGCTTCTGCGTTACCATATCTAGCTATGTGGATTTTCTCCATGTTGTTAAGTGTTGTGACAGACTGGATGATCTCAACAAGGATATCTCATACTGCTGCTAGAAGAATAGTTAATTGCATAGGTACCATTCAATGAGATTCATTATTTTATAATCCAGGGT